TCTTTTTTTGTGTATTAAAAAATACTAATTCATTTTACAGTAACACTGTTGTATGACTTAGCTAAATAAATTATTTTATCGACAGGAGTGGGAAAAAAGGTGCTTGTGGTTGTGCATTGATAAGCACACCAAAGCACACCAAAGTTGGCATTGAAGATACGTAATAAAATAAAGACGGCTCTTCTAAAAGCCGATTTGACGCCATAGCCTGCTGATCACTTTTCTTTCATTTTGATATCAGCACAAATGAAAATGTGGCACTGCCTTGCCCATGGATTGAAGTTTCAGCATTGTTTCAATGAAGAGTTCAGCGTTTGACTAGCCATGTGCGACATGTACATGCAGTTACAAGCCTGCTAGAGTTAGCGGCAGCCAGACGACCAATATCCACAGCCGTAGTACGGATGAAGCCTGAGCTGGAATGTGATGCTAACTGAAGCTGCTTAGCTTTAGAAAACCCTGAGTAGATCTAGCTTGCTTCGTAGGATACCCCTCTGGTTGGCCCAAGAACACAATAAATAAAACATGCGAATGTAAAACATACCAAATATCTCAACTAGTGATGTTATGTTTGATACTGGAGCTCCGGGGGATGTGTTCAAAATCAAAGCCGTGTGCCTGATGCCTGTATCACTCACTATAAGATGCACATCATCAATGATGTCCAAAGCGTCTTTTGATCGCGTGTTTTTTCAAACTGTGTGTTGCAAAATCCCACTGTTTTCGCCGTGGTTCCGGCACTTTGTTTGATTCCAAGCTGCTTTCAAACACCGACCTCTACTGGACACTGTACTTACAAATATAGTTAGGACTTTTTACTGCTAGTTTCTTCTGACCGGTAGCTTAGCAGGTATACAGTGCCTTCGGAAAGTATTCAGTTCCCTTGACTTTTCCCACATTTTGTTACGTTATAGTCTTATTCTAAAATGTATCCTCAGCAATCTACACACAATACGCCATAATGACAAAGCGAAAACAGGCTTTTGGAAATTCTTGCTAATTTATTATAAATAAAAAACATAAATAACTTATTTACATAAGTATTTAGACCCTTTGCTATGACACTCAAGTGCATCCAGTTTCCATTGATCATCCTTGAGATGTTTCTACAACTTGATTGGAGTCCACCTATGGTACATTCAATTGATTGGACATGATTTGGAAAGGCACACACCTGTCTATATAAGGTCCCACAGTTGACAGTGCATGTCAGAGAAAAAACCAAGCCATGATGTCGAAGGAATTGTCCGTAGAGCTCCGAGACAGGATTGTGTTGAACCACAGATCTGGGGAAGGGTACCAAAAAATGTCTGCAGCATTGAAGTTCCACAAGAACACAGTGGCCTCCATCATTAGTAAATGGAAGAAGTTTGGAACCACCAAAACTCTTCCTAGAGCTGGCCACCAGGCCAAACTGAGCAATCAGGGGAGAAGGGCCTTGGTCAGGGAGGTGACCAAGAACCCAACGGTCACTCTGACAGAGCTCTAGAGTTCATCTGTGGAGATTGGAGAACCTTCCAGAAGGACAACCATCTCTGCAGCACTCCACCAATCAGGTCTTTATGGTAGAGTGGCCAGACGGATGCCACTCCTCAGTAAAAGGCACATGACAGCCCACTTGGAGTTTGTCAAAAGGCACCTAAAGACTCTCAGACCATGAGAAACAAGATTCTCTGGTCTGATGAAACCAAGATTGAACTCTTTGGCCTGAATGCCAAGCGTAACGTCTGGAGGAAACCTGGGACCATCCTGACGGTGAAGCATGATGGTGGCAGCATCATACTGTGGGGATTTTTTTCAGCACCATGGACTGGGAGGCCAGTTAGGATCGAGGCAAAGATGAACAGAGCAAAGTACAGAGAGATCCTTCATGAAAACCTGGTCCAGAGCGCTCAGAACCTCAGACTGGGGTGAAGTTTCATCTTCCAACAGGACAACGACCCTAAGCACATAGCCAAGACAACACAGGAGTGGCTTCGGGACAAGTCTCTGAATGTCCTTGAGTGGCGCAGCCTGATTCCGGACTAGAACCCGATCTAACATCTCTGGAGAGACCTGAAAATAGCTGTGCAGCAACGCTCCCCATCCAACCTGACAGATCTTGAGAGGATCTGCAGAGAGGAATGGAGAAACTCCCCAAATACAGGTGTGCCAAGCATGTAGCTTCATACCCAAGAAGACTAGAGGCTGTAATCACTACCAAAGGTGCTTCAACAAAGTACTGAGTAAAGCGTCTGAATACTTATGTAAATGTGATATTTTAGTAGTTTTTTTTACAGATTTGGCAACATTTCAACAAAAAAAAATTTGCTTTGTCATTATGGGGTTTTGTGTGTAGATTGATGAGGGGGGGAAAACATTTTAATCAATTTTAGAATAAGGCTGTAACTTAACAAAATGTGGAAAAAGTAAAGGGGTCTGAATACTTACCGAATGCGCTGTAGTAGGGAACTATGGAACATTCAGGGACGTGAGGGTATGGGGTCAGATCCCGGTGAAGGCAAACTATTTTGAAAATTGTTTTATGTGAAACTATACTTTCTGCACATTGTTATTCAAATTATTCATTTTATTTAGTATAGTATAAGCTTCTGTCTTAATCATCCTAAATACTACCCTAGATGCAGCACTCTCTCGACACAAAAGAAGAGGCGACGAATGAGGCCAGCTCTTTGACTTTTTGCCCCATGCTTATGTGTGTGTTCAGCTGAGATAAAGCCAATAAGAAACCTGCAGCAACAACTGTATATCAACAAACGTCTTTCATGGTTATTTGCTGAACAATTCATGTATCTCCATTTCTGCTAGTAAAAACAGGAGCCTATACACTTAGGGCTATAAGTTGATTATTTCATTGACAAATAAGAGCCAATTAAAATAAGGCATGAGTCCATTTTATACATTCTCACCCAAGACAACTCTGGAAGCAATTACCTCAGAATTAGGACGATAAAAAACAAATTCATTTATTTCTACCTCCAGAGCTGACCAAAGCCTCTCCATCACTATTTATTAAAGTCAGTCTCTCTCGCTCGCTCTCATTATTAAGCTTTGTGAAAATGAAAGCATCAATTACCTTTGTATATAACATGGGAGATAAAAGCAGTTTTTTCTCTGAATGTGGGGATGATTGGACAGCTTGCCTTGTGGATAAATAAAATGCATTGGTTTCACGTTATTTTAATTAAAATGACACGTTGTCATGAAGAAACCAGTTGGAGGTTCATATTATCTTTTTGGAGACTCAGATGCACCAACTACCACCAAAAGAGTGATTATGTTGTCTTATCATACAGTGGGGAGAACAAGTATTTGATACACTGCCGATTTTGCAGGTTTTCCTACTTACAAAGCATGTAGAGGTCTATAATTGTTATCATAGGTACACTTCAACTGTGAGAGACGGAATCTAAAATAAAAATCCTGAAAATCACATTGTATGATTTTTAAGTAATTAATTTGCTTTTTATTGCATGACATAAGTATTTGATCACCTACCAACCAGTAAGAATTCCGGCTCTCACAGACCTGTTAGTTTTTCTTTAAGAAGCCCTCCTGTTCTCCACTCATTACCTGTATTAACTGCACCTGTTTGAACTCGTTACCTGTATAAAAGACACCTGTCCACACACTCAATCAAACAGACTCCAACCTCTCCACAATGGCCAAGACCAGAGAGCTGTGTAAGGACATCAGGGATAAAATTGTAGACCTGCACAAGGCTGGGATGGGCTACAGGACAATAGGCAAGCAGCTTGGTGAGAAGGCAACAACTGTTGGCGCAATTATTAGAAAATGGAAGAAGTTCAAGATGACGGTCAATCACCCTCGGTCTGGGGCTCCATGCAAGATCTCACCTCGTGGGGCATCAATGATCATGAGGAAGGTGAGGGATCAGCCCATAACTACACGGCAGGACCTGGTCAATGACCTGAAGAGAGCTGGGACCACAGTCTCAAAGAAAACCATTAGTAACACACTACGCCGTCATGGTCCCCCTGCTCAAGCCAGCGCATGTCCAGGCCCAACTGAAGTTTGCCAATGACCATCTGGATGATCCAGAGGAGGAATGGGAGAAGGTCTTGTGGTCTGATGAGACAAAAATATAGCTTTTTGGTTTAAACTCCACTTGCCGTGTTTGGAGGAAGAAGAAGGATGAGTACAACCCCAATAACACCATACCAACCGTGAAGCATGGATGTGGAAACATCATTCTTTGGGGATGCTTTTCTGCAAAGGGGACAGGACGACTGCACCGTATTGAGGGGAGGATGGATGGGGCCATGTATCGCGAGATCTTGGCCAACAACCTCCTTCCCTCAGTAATTGAAGATGGGTCGTGGCTGGGTCTTCCAGCATGACAACGACCCAAAAAACACAGCCAGGGCAACAAAGGAGTGGCTCCATAAGAAGCATCTCAAGGTCCTGGAGTGGCCTAGCCAGTCTCCAGACCTGAACCCAATAGAAAATCTTTGGAGGGTATTGCCCAGAGACAGCCCCGAAACCTGAAGGATCTGGAGAAGGTCTGTATGGAGGAGTGGGCCAAAATCCCTGCTGCAGTGTGTGCAAACCTGGTCAAGACCTACAGGAAACGTATGATCTCTGTAATGCAAACAAAGGTTTCTGTACCAAATATTAAGTTCTGCTTTTCTGATGTATCAAATACTTATGTCATGCAATAAAATGCAAATTAATTACTTAAAAATCATACAATGTGATTTTCTGTATTTTTGTTTTAGATTCCGTCTCTCACAGTTGAAGTGTACCTATGATAAAAATTACAGACCTCTACATGCTTTGTAAGAAGGAAAACCTGCAAAATCGGCAGTGTATCAAATACCTGTTCTCCCCACTGTATGCAATGTTCACTGCACACACTAATTGTTCTCTATAATTCAGCCGGCTTCATGTATGGTAGGATCCTTCCCTTCCAACAATTGGATTCTGATTCCTTATAAAAACAGAAACAGTGCTCCCATACCCATCCTGAGCAATTTGTATTACAGTGATATTACCTCAGGCAGGAGAGACAATGGGCACACACACAGCCAGTGGTTGGTGTTATTTGGTACAGGACTGGCACCTCTCCAGTCCATCAGGGCAGTAGGCCTGGCATCGCAGCACACTGATAGACTCATTGAAGCGGTTGGCAGCATGGACAGCTTGCTGCCATGGCACAAAGAGCAGGGTACACAGCGCGAACCTCCACAATGCTGGCAGCTGGACGCAGCATCCTGCTGGAGGCACACAAATAAACACAGTGTCACTAACAACACAACAGAACTCATATAAGATACTGTATCATACCTAATGAATCCAGCAAATGGTGTGGCACAATTAGGGATGCAAAGGGAGGGTATATTACTGTAAACTTTCTAAGTTTACAAGTAAACTACCAGAATTTTGGTATCTTTCAAGGATTTTACGTAATATATCACAAGACATCTAGTGGCCCTTTTGGGTACTTCAGATTATCACAAGCGTCTGTAATTATGTCTAGCACTCTGTGTGGCCTTATTCCATGTAGAATATATTAAATAATTAAATAAGATTATTTAAAAAATTACAAAATAATAATAATGACGAAGCTGTGAAAACATTATCTTAAATATAAACCCTCAATTTAGTGAATACCATTTGTGTTTAATATGAGGGTTTCGGCATGAAATATCTTATTTTTACATACTTTTATTTATTTTATAATGTCAATATGTATTTGTTGTCAATGTTTTGGCGTCAAATGGGTGGCAGTTGTGAAAAAAGTCAATAGTTGGACGGGTTGCAGAGGTAAAAAAGGGGCAACAGGTAGCCTAGCGGTTAAGAGTGTTGGGCCAGTACCCGAAAGGTCAACAAGGCACTTAACCCTAATTGCTCCTGTAAGTTGCTCTAGATAATAGTGTCTGCTAAATGACTAAAATATGAAATTGAAAATAATGCCATTGTTGATTAGATGCTTTTTTCATATATAGGCCATTTTCTCTTGAACCATATGGTCTATCTACTAGAAACTCATGGACAATATGGACACAGATATAAACAATTCAAACTATATATTAATACATTTTCTAAAAGATATTCAAGTATAAATTACCAAAGTTAAGATAGATTGCCATAGATTTTCTGTTAATTACCAAAATGACTGAAGATTACGGTAACTTTGGTAAATTACCGGTAGTTTTGCAACCCTAGCCACAATATTACAAGTAAAAGAAACATGATCTGGGTCCAAACAGAGAATGCGAAAAAGGCAACAACAAAAAGAGAAATTAGAGAAAAACCAGTGAGACCCAGTGAGAGAAAGAGAGATGAGTTAGGAATGGAATGGAAAGACAGAGACAGAGAGAGAGACAGAGAGAGAGAGAGGAGAGAGAGTGCGAGAGAGAGAGAAACCTGCAATCAGTAAAAGAAGTGACCATGGGGAATTACTGAGCGTTACCCGGCTCATAAGTGGCAGCAGATGCCGCGGGAGCAGAGAAACTGAGTAGTCATCACTATCTGTGCACAGTCAGCAGGCAGAGCGAGGAGACAATGTGGTTAGAGAGAGACACAAGGTGGTCTGGTCAGGCACCATTACCTTGTCCTGTGGATGGGTGCTCTACTCCTTCCTGTGAGCACAGAGGGCATTGGGCCTCCTCTTGCCCCCGCTGTCATGCCCCCGTGAGTACTCGTCCACTGCCCCAGGGGGCTGAGGATGTCTCCCTGTCCCTCCATCCCTCCGAGGGGTCCAGATGATCCGCAGATTACTGGTGTAGATTTTTTATCTTTCCAAAGTCCAATACTGAAGACTGGAGGACACAAACAAAAGCCTGGTCACTCATGTGCATTACTCAGTATAATGATATTGATAAAGACAGACTTGAATATAAATGTATGTTTTAGCGGTTATGACCTGTGTCTTAATTTGCTTTGCAGACACAACTTGACAACACTACAGGGGCTTTATAAGTGCATTATCATAAACTGTGTATGGGACTGTGTGATACATGCCTTATAATTTATTCAATCGTATTTTTATTAAAGTAATTTGTGAGAAATAGGACATAGGGATAAAAGTAAACATCTTATGCTTTCGTATTTTGTCTAGTGTGAACATCACAGGATAGACTACAGTTACACTTATTGCTCCAGTCAATAAAATACCGAAGATGTGACTGTAATCTGATCATCTGATACTTAATTGCTGTATTGATACAATATTGCACACACATTGAGGTTGGCAAATGACAGCATAAAACAAAAACATTGTTTTGTCCTTGGTTTTAACACAGTTCGATAGGTCAACAGCTCATATGAGATAACGTATTGGAACTGTTATAAGACCAGCCATTGAATCTTAATGGCATCATAGCATAATATGATTGTGCCAGTAAAAATGAATGGCTGGTGTTGTGTCACAACAGTATTAAATAGGGAATATGGAGTAATAAATGGTTCACTAATACGCAAAATACATGATTAGTATAGTTTTCCTCCAGGGCCGGCGCCAGGACGAATCAGTTGGACGAACCTTTGACATCCATAGGCGGGCAAGTTTTTTCACGAGACCTATGTGTGCAGGTGCTTTTGCGCGTTCACAATTTTTTAGAATGGGTGTTATAATAAAGACCATAGGCAGCTCGTGAGTTTAAAGTTTGGGGAAGCCTACAATTTATCCTAACATTTCTACCGATCTGCGTGAAAGTTATGATGCGCCGTTTCATTTCAATAATAACGTTTTTGTTTCTCAAAATCATTGTCATGTGGTTAATCATACAATAAAATGATGAAAATTCAACGAACAGGAGATCACCAGCTTCTGACATATGGACACATTGATACACTGTAGTCCATTGGAGGCTAAATAAATGAGCGCATAGAACTCAGAGATAGCCTATAGGCCAATGCAGCAGTAGGCCTATAACTTCCACCATCAACTAAGTAAAATACATAGGCCTAAAGCCGACAAAATAAAAACAGTAGAAAATATCCTGATGAAAATTCCGGTTCTTTCCATCACATTCATCTCTCTGCTCCGCATACGTCTGTCTCCCTTTCTATATTTCTTGACTTGAGCTATTGCTGGTGAAGTGCAACATTGTATCAAATCATCAACTGGATCCGACCGATTGTATCAACTAGACTATTCCGGGCCCTCAGAGTTTCTGGCGCCAGTGAGCTCGGGTCAGACAGCTGTTTTTTATGACGTTTCCACTGAATATATGGTTAATCGGATCATTATATTTTGCTCTTTCACACCGAGGCTTGGTGAGGCCGGGAGTGTTGGAAAGACGTTTCAAATACTGAGAAACTATCATTTGCAATGGATGTAAAAAAAATTAAAAAAATAATAAAAATAATAATAAGACTTCGTTTACAATGTGTGAGGTGAAGAAAAAATTACTGAGAAGCTCAGTTTATTCGTGGTGGACGTGGTGAGTTAAGACAATCAGAAAACAGACATTGCCAAATGGGCACTTTCCGACATTTGCATGCAGCAGGTCAGGTAGGCCTACTTCTATGCGTGCTCAGGCGTGCACGCTCCCTCAACGTCATCAGGACAGAGAAACCAGACACATGCTCATTCCTCATGGAGCACTCCAAACAAAAGACAATGAAAAGATTGACAAAACTCGTAATGATTAGGAAATGAACCAAAACTGGTTTCTCACAAGTGTAGCAGGTTGTGAACTCTGCAAACGTTTCCACTCCGAGAATGAGAATGGTAATGACTGTAATTAATACATGCAATAACAGAAATGTATGTAACCAAATTACTGGGATTAACGGCATATTTACTAGGCCTAATGGTGACATGTGTAATGGGGAGTTGATCAAAAATAAACGATCATAGGTCAAACAATTCACACAATGAAACAATGAATGGGCAAGAATTGGCGGGAGACAGCTGAGCGCATTCTGGAGAGCGGAGTGCATGAATTCTGGAGAGAGATGCGCCATATCTTCGCCACACACTCCTCCCCTTCTTGTCTCAGCATTTTGCATTATACTCAAGACACACATATTTTAGATGCTTTTCACTGACAGCCGCAACTCAATCAGCTTGAAATATAGCAACGCCCGCTGCCCAAATTGCGGGATTACCAAATAGGCATAGTCCTACACACTTCTGATTTGAAACAATACACAGCTTTTTTTTTTTTTAAGAAGCTAATGATCCTCTGTGGCTAAGTCGTGCTCTCTGGTGAAGTATTTTGAATGTTTTTATTTAGACAGGAATAATTTTGGCAAAACATCAATTTACTTTAGGGGAAGCCAGCATCCTAACAGAGCACTGTGCACCCGCCAACTTTCCTTTGCAATTCGCAGGCTGAAACCAGAGTTCTGTATATAATGACGAGATGCTCATGTCTTCGCCCCGACGATGGGAGGGGTTGTCCCAAAGGCGGGAAGGCAGGCGACAAGTTTAGGTCTGCATATTATGCCCACAGCAACGCATTGGGCTGATTCCGAAGAGATTTTGGCGAGAGTGAGCCTCTCGCTTTGCCTCTTCCTCTCTGCTGATACTCTCTCACCGGAGAAAGCATCCCAGTGAGTGAAACAGCGCTGTCTGTCTTAATATGTGTAGCCCATGTATCTGATGCTTGGCTAGAAATAGTTTGACATGCCATACTCTTTTCGTCCAGACAGTATCAGATACATGCTCTACACATACTGAGACAGAGGGGCGCTGTTTCACTCGCTCGAATGCTTTATCTGAGATTGACTGGTCTTTCTGTCAGTGTGCATCTAGGTCAAATAAATTATCAATATTTCAATATTTTATTTGGATGGGCAAGGAGGTAGGGTGGGGAGGGCCAGCCCCCCTAAGGCTCACCCATAACACCAGCCCTGTTTTCCTCTGTTAAAGTTATTCTCTTTGTTTAATGCTTAATAAGTGTAACTCACTTGGTTCATTCAACTCTGAGGCATTTAGAGACTTTCATCGACAAGCACCCACCCATCAGAAGAGAATGAATTACTAATCGAATACCATGAAGCATGCACTACAAAAGGGAATGAAACTATATAGGAGTGTGGTGAAGGGGAATCTTGAGGTTGTGTATTAAGCTACAAATCAACAGTTTTCATAGCGTAGTTTTTCAACCAAGCCACTACAATTTACTTGGGGTCTAGCTTTGGCGCATCAGTGTGGGCAGGGGGTCCATAGTTAGCCCCCCCTCTGTAGATGTTGATCCTCTGGGTCATCAGTCCGGTATGGGGGTACAGGCCCTGGTCCTGCATGTCCTGGAAGCCACAAAGCTGCTCCATCTCCAGGTGTCTGGGCATGTTGTGGCTGTGGAAGCTGTGGGGGTACTTCTCCTCTGGGCTGTCCAGTTCCTGGCTGTCCTCGTACACATACTTCAGCATCCTGCTGCTGACTGATGAGGCCAACTTGCTGTCGTACCTCTGGTGGCTGTCATATCTCTTGTCCAGTTTCCTCTGGAGTTCCTCCATGGTCCTGCTGCTGGGAGATGTGACTGTGACAATCCGTCTGAGACCCTATGTACCTACCTGAACAAGGAGCTTGTAAGATATGGAGAGTGTTCCATGGGCTGCTTGAGATCAGCCTACCTCTACCTGCTGTCTGTCTCTAGCTACCACAGCTGAATTATTCAGTATATTATTCACTAAAGGGTAATGGGGACACTGAGACCATTTCATCAAATAATCATGTTTGCGGGAGTGTTGGTGAAAACAAGAATTGTGGGCGTGGTGTCTACCATTGGCATGAAGGCTTGAAAAGGATACATGGAAATGTGGGTGTATTGATGTTGCACTCCAGTCCAGTACTATGCAATCAGCAGCCATTTATCTCTGACAACATGTGTTTCATCCCATGGCACATACATGTTCAGACTGTTTAATATACAATCATGCTCCCGTGGAGTGTTATTATCTCTGTTTAGAAATCACAAATATCAGTATTAGCTTTTAGGTTTGGGGCTTAATGCCTGTGAAGAGCCCTTTTTAGAGCCCACTAATCTAACAAATAGCTGCCATTAACTCCATGCATGTTTAAATTAATCTTGCAATTATCTCCACAGATGACTGTTATTATATTGTGTATCAATGCGAGGCTTAGATGGATCCCCCTTTTGTTTCCTTTTACCCAATCCAGGTCTGTGTACTCTGATTGCACTACAACCATGGGCTCGTTCATGAGATAAATTGTTTTGGGTGCATCTCAGTAAAATAATCATATGTCTCAGGAATCCTACTGGTTTGGTTGAAAGTATTGCCACTATAATCTCCATGTAGCTCTGATGTATTTTACCATTTCCTTTTAGCACTCTACTGATGCATTTCAAATGTGTTCAATAAAATCATAATAGATCATCGTTTTCAGTGACACCTCCCACAAGGTAGCACTCTGCTTGGCCTCAGCATGCGCTTGCAGATACATTCAAGACTTGAACATACGCTATGTCTGGGCTAAACAATAATTAGTATACAGTGAGGGAAAAAAGTATTTGATCCCCTGCTGATTTTGTACGTTTGCCAACTAACAAAGAAATGATCAGTCTATCATTTTAATGGTAGGTTTATTTGAACAGTGAGAGACAGAATAACAACAAAAAAATCCTGAAAAACACATGTCAAAAATGTTATAATTTGATTTGCATTTTAATGAGGGAAATAAGTATTTGACCCCCTCTCAATCAGAAAGATTTCTGGCTCCCAGGTGTGTTTTATACAGGTAACGAGCTGAGATTAGGAGCACACTCTTAAAGGGAGTGCTCCTAATTTCAGTTTGTTACCTGTATAAAAGACACCTGTCCACAGAAGCAATCAATCAGATTCCAAACTCTCCACCATGGCCAAGACCAAAGAGCTCTCCAAGGATGTCAGGGACAAGATTGTAGACCTACACAAGGCTGGAATGGGCTACAAGACCATCGCCAAGCAGCTTGGTGAGAAGGTGACAACAGTTGGTGCGATTATTCGCAAATGGAAGAAACACAAAATAACTGTCAATCTCCCTCGGCCTGGGGCTCCATGCAAGATCTCACCTCGTGGGGTTGCAATGATCATGAGAACGGTGAGGAATCAGCCCAGAACTACACGGGAGGATCTTGTCAAGGCAGCTGGGACCATAGTCACCAAGAAAACAATTGGTAACACACTACGCCGTGAAGGACTGAAATCCTGCAGCGCCCGCAAGGTCCCCCTGCTCAAGAAAGCACATATACAGGCCTGTCTGAAGTTTGCCAATGAACATCTGAATGATTCAGAGGAGAACTGGGTGAAAGTGTTGTGGTCAGATGAGACCAAAATCGAGCTCTTTGGCATCAACTCAACTCGCCGTGATTCAAATCAAATCAAATCAAATTTTTATTGGCCACATGCGCCGAATACAACAGGTGCAGACATTACAGTGAAATGCTTACTTACAGCCCTTAACCAACATTGCATTTATTTTTATTTAAAAAAGTAGAATAAAACAAAATATATACAGGGGGGTACCGGTGCAGAGTCAATGTGTGGGGGCACCCTCTAGTTGAGGTAGTTGAAGTAATATGTACATGTGGGTAGAGTTAAAGTGAGGAATGCTGCCTATGACCCCAAGAACACCACCCCCACCGTCAAACATGGAGGTGGAAACATTATGCTTTGGGGGTGTTTTTCTGCTAAGGGGACAGGACAACTTCACAGCATCAAAGGGACGATGGACGGGGCCATGTACCGTCAAATCTTGGGTGAGAACCTCCTTCCCTCAACCAGGGCATTGAAAATGGGTTGTGGATGGGTATTCCAGCACGACAATGACCCAAAACACACGGCCAAGGCAACAAAGGAGTGGCTCAAGAAGAAGCACATTAAGGTCCTGGAGTGGCCTAGCTAGTCTCCAGACCTTAATCCCATAGAAAATCTGTTGAGGGAGCTGAAGGTTTGAGTTGCCAAACGTCAGCCTCGAAACCTTAATGACTTGGAGAAGATCTGCAAAGAGGAGTGGGACAAAATCCCTCCTGAGATGTGTGCAAACCTGGTGGCCAACTACAAGAAACGTCTGACCTCTGTGATTGCCAACAAGGGTTTTGCCACCAAGTACTAAGTCATGTTTTGCAGAGGGGTCAAATACTTATTTCCCTCATTAAAATGCAAATCAATTCATAATATTTTTGACATGCGGTTTTCTGGATTTTTTTGTTGTTATTCTGTCTCTCACTGTTCAAATAAACCTACCATTAAAATTATAGACTGATCATGTCGTTGTCAGTTGGCAAACGTACAAAATCAGCAGGGGATCAAATACTTTTTTTCCCTCACTGTATATCTTAAAACACAAACACTATTTCTTTTTTTTGTCATGACTATCTAAAAAGTATTTCAGAACAGTTTTGAAAGCCCCTACAAGCTTTTACACTGAATACATGATTTATAATTTCAGTGGCACATAATGGCATATCATTTGGAAATAGGATTGAGCACAATTTCACGTACTTATACACATACTAATTAGTGGAATGAGCACCAGGTGTGTGTGATTGACAAGACAAGACATGACAAGTGGAGTGATGAGAATGGGATCGGCAGTAGCTAGTAAGCCGGTGACGACGAACGCCGAAACCTGCCCGAACAAGGAGTGGAGGCAGCCTCGGCGGAAGTTGTGACAGAGAGAGCCCTAGCAGAGTTACTGATGAATAACTCCTCTTTGTAAACTGACTTGAATAGGATTATGTGAGTCTAGCCCCAGAAAAGACAATATAGCAGCCAATATAGTTTCTGTTCCCTTTCAGAATCTCATCCATAATGCATTGCAGGTGATTTGTTCCAGGCAGACATTACGGGTCTATTACTGTCCTGCACATGGAGTTGAAGTTGTACTTTGACTTTATCATCACACTCCAGCGTCCTCTGACAAGAAGGGAAGCTACAGATGAGCATGAAATATTCATGTCCGTCTTAAATTATTGCCGAACTGATTCAATACATAATTATTTTGGACTGGGATTGACACCCGGTTTATTTCAGCACAATAGAACAAGATTCTTTTGCAAGTAGACAAAAAGAGGATTCAGGAGTTTCGATTGTGTTAAATGAGACTGTTGCGCAGGGGAAAAGCACAAACATTGCATTTTTACAAAGTAGGTGAACTATTAGTCTTTTATTCAGCAAATACTAAAAATAGAGTAAACGTTATCTTAATTACAGTATCTATCAAATGGCAAAATGTGGTTAGTCCTTCTCATATTCATATTTAATCTTCACACAAAACTTTCGCTCTATTAATTAGCTATGGTCATCCAACGTATGTGTATGCAAGGCCTCGGCTACAATGGAGAGAATCATGAAACTGAAAACTAATCCTGTTTGTTTAATTCAATAACAGTATTATGCATTAGATAGACTGGCCATTTTCTAACTCAACAACATGGAATTGAACATTGTGTGAAAGGGTGGTAGGACTACTGTGTTCAAGGAAATTGGCACGGTTCTGTTCAACCCCACCATTTTAAGGGACTACTCAAGAAAGGCTCCTTCTGATGTGAAGGTCTGTCTGGCACACAGCACAGTGCCAGGCCTGATGCCACACAGAGCAAAGTGCCAGGCCTGATGCCATGGGCAGAGAAGACACCCAGAGGCTGCTGTTTGGACAACCCAGCCAAGCGAGGTGTAGAAAGAAATGAAGGTTATCCAATGGACAACATAATCAATTCTATGTACTGTCAAGATAACAACAAAAGACACGGTCGCCCTGTTTCTAGCTCCTAGACAACTTTGCAAAAAAAACAACTGTGTGTTATTTCTTACATTATTTGCTCAGAACGTTTCTTACATTATTACCTACAGTCGGAAAAAAACTTTTGGATATCAGATCGGCAGTCACTCACCAGCATTTCTACCAGAAATTCAACTTCCCTGAATTGGATCCTTCGTTTGAACTTCCCGAGGCAATTCCATTCATCCCAGGGGATGCTCCAAGACACTGTCACCGGAGAAGAAGAATAAGGAGTGGGCTTTTAGTCAGACTCCGGAGGCGTGCATACCATCCACTGCTTCCGAGTATACAGGGGCCGCGTTAGAGTTCAGAAATCTGCATTTTCAAAATGCAGACCATCAAAAAAGCTACGTTTTGAACCATTTCACCTGCATTTATATTGAAAGTCAACAGTGTTGTTTTGCTTCAATAGAGTGATCAGGGGCGTGCAACTATAGTTTTCGTTCGCAGGAAATACATTAGTGCAACACATTCGGCAAAAACTAGCTTTGTTTTCATCAGATGACAACAGAAGTGCAACGCTATTTGGCTAGCAGCCACACAAGTAAATTAGTTTAAAAAATGTTTTAAAGGTAATTTTTTCAAGAACGATGCATGACCATCATATTTTTCTAATGTTTATCATAGAAAGAATGTAGCCAGCTATATTTCATAATGTTTTGCTTGAAGTTAATCTTACATTTTACTGGAGAAAGTAGGCTACACCGAGAAAAGTACCAGAGAAAAGTAGCTA